GTTCACTGGGGTAATGAAGAGGTCTTTGACTTTTTCATGCTTGAGACATTTTTTTTCCTAGAAAAGAAAGTACTAGAATAGTGAATGTAACAAATTTAACCTTAGGGCTGAGACTCTGTGTGTGTGTGTGTGTGTGTGTGTGTGTGTGTGTGTGTGTGTGTGCTGGAGTTCCTACTATCCTTTAGCAAGGGGCAAGGAACCAGAGAGCTGCCCTTTAGGCCAGGAAATGCCAAGTCTGCAGCTGTTAGAGGGATTATTCATGAATGCTAACCCATATTATGTATGCATTTAGCCATGTATAAGCTAAATGTGCCTATACTGCATGCTGCCTAAGAAGCATAGCAGCACTGACCCATAATCTTTCTTGTCATAATAACCACAAACACTGTGCTGTATTTGCTCAAATAACCATAGCTGTGGCAACAAGGCAAAGGCAGTCAATCAGAGATCTGAATTTTTGGTTCTGAAAATATAGTCGTTATAAACATGGGCCTAATAGTCCTCCCATGATTTAAAAGAATATTTTTTCTTCAATTACATGTAAAAACAATTTTAACATTCTTATTTTTAAAGCTTTGAGTTCGAAAGTCTATCCCTCCTTCCCTTTCCTCCCTCGTCACTGACATAGTAAGCAGTCTGGCATAGGTTATACATGTTCAATCATGTAAAACATTTCCGTATCAGTCATTTTGTGGAAGAAAATTTGAACTAAAAAAAAGAAATGAAAACAAGAAAGTAGGTGAAAATAGTATGCTTTTGTTTGTATTCAGATACCATCAGTTCCTTTTCTGGAGGTGGATAGCATTTTTTATCACGAGTCCTTTGGGTTTGTCTTATATCATTGTATTGCTGAGAATAGTTAAGTCATTCACAGTTGATCATCATACAATATTGCTGTTATTGTATACGATATTCTCTTGGTTCTGCTCACTTCACTTTGTGTCAGTTCACTTAAGTCTTTCTGGGTTTTTTTTTTTCTGAAATCCACTTGCTCATTTCTTATAGAACAATAATATTCCATTATAATCATATACCATAACTTGTTCAGCCATTCCCCAATTGATGCCACCCATGCTTTTGATTCATTTAATATTTCTTGAGCAATTACTTTGTGCAAGGCATATAGAGGTAATGTAATGCAATGGCTAAGGTGTTAAGCTTAGAGTCAGAAGACCTAGGTAATTCTGCCTCTGTCACTAGCTGTGTGACCCTAGGCAAGTCACTTAACCTCTATGTATCTTAGGCAACTCTCTAGAAATGACGTACTAAATCACAGAGCTCATTACAGAGTTACTACATTGAGAATTCTCCACAATGGACAAAACTGCAGATGCTTCAAATATTCATAAATGTGTAAGGCACCATGCTAAGTGGTGGAGATACAAAGATAAAAGTGATCTAGTTCCTGTCCTCAAGGAGCTTGGACTTAGATCTGCCCTCTGGGACTTAGCAGAACATGTATGGGGTTTCTCAAAAGTCTTAATGTAGTTTTAAGCTTTCTAATAGCCTCAAATGGTGGTAAGATTTACAGGATCCTCCATACATGCACTGCTTTAATAGCTTACTAAAGCAATTACCCCCTGCATAATCTCTCTTGTACATGATGGTCCTTCAGAGATGTGAAGGCAGCTAGTATGTTCTACTTCATCTTTCTCTTCCCTGTATTAACCATTTCTAGGGCCCTTAGCCAATCCTCATGTGGCATCAGAACTCTGAAGGGGGCTTTGCATCTCTTGGTCCTCTGCATTTTCCCTGGTTATGGAATTTCTTGTTAGGGCTCTTTATGGCCTAGGTTTAAGTTTCCTCACTATTCTGTTTGTCCTCCCCTATGCATTCCATCCTGTCAGATTCTTCCCGAAAACATGGCATCCATAACCAAGTGCAACACTCCAACTGTGCTCTGACTATGGCAGAGTGTATTGGGACTATCACCCCCATGCTTTAACTACTCTACGTCTATTAAGGGTCTGGGGAGGGAAGGGAAAGGGGATAAGGGCTGCCTACTACATAGTAGTGGTGTTATGTGTCAGGCACTCTGTTAAAGGCTTTACAGATATTTCTTTTAATCCTCACAACAACCCTTCGAGGTAGGTCTTATTATCACCCCCATTTTACAGTTGAGAAAATTGAGACAAACAGATTTGTTCAGGGTCACACAGCTAATAAATGTCTGAGGCCAGATTTGAACTCAGGTCTTATTGGCTCCAGGCCCAGTGCGCTATCCTCTGCATCACCTGGCTACTCCTGTTGATGGTGCCTGACGTTGAACTAGCTCTTAGGATGCTTTTAGTAGCAACTAGGGCCAGTTGGACCATCGGGCATGACCTTATCCAGAACAGAGGAAACAGCACCGCTCTTAGGATGAGGGGACTCTACCTGGAAGTCTCTGTAGTGAGAAGAGCCAAAATCCATGCCCGTGTTTTCGTTGTTGTTGGGGTTTGGAGTTCGTTTTTGGTTTTATTTTGTTTTTCTCTGTCCTCTGCTTATCTCTGGTTTCCCCCATTATTTGTTTTTTAATCAGTGTCTTTCATATTGTAAGAAATGAGAGACTGGATATTCCTATCATACATTATTGTTTCTGTGGATTTTTTTCTTCCCCTCCCATCTCTGTAATTTCCCCATCCCCACATGAGGGTGATAAGTGTTTGAGATGCATAACTGTGTCTCATTTCAGTGCCTAATAGAAGATGGAGAATGAGCCGAGGCACCTTTCTGCTCAGTAAATTCGTAATTACAGGCTTTCTCGTCTCTCCTCTTCGGCAACTAGAGAAATGTAGATTGGTTTGTTGAGGTTTTGTGTGTTTGCTGTGAGAGTGGGTAGTGGGGAAAGCATCTTTCCAGAAGAATAGTGACAGATTGTGTCATGGCTTATAGAGTTTTCACATCTAGAAGGATGGATGAACTAGGTCCTGACCTTGCATTGATCAATACTGAATTTTGAATTAAGTCCAATTGTAATCTTCCTTGATGATGGAGATGTTCTGATGGCTGATTTAATCTGAATACAAAAGGATACCCCAAGGAATATACTTTTCCTTGCAAGGTATGACATAGGGAATAGGACACTGGACTTGGAGTCATAAAGAACTGTGTTCAGATCTAACCTCAGACACTGTGTGATCCTGAGCAAATCACTTACCATCTATGAGCCTTTTTTTCTTATCTATAAAATGAAGGGATTGGGGTTGGATTTGATGTTCTCAAAGGTCCCTTCCAGTTCTAAATCTGTGATCCTATAAGTCACTTAACCTCTCTTGGCTTCAGTTTTCTTACCTGTAAAAATGAGGGGGTTGGCCTACAATGGCCTATGATGAACAGAAGCTTGAAGAGGGGCTGGAATCAGGTTGGAAGGGAAATGATGAAAGAGTGATTCAGTTGGGAAAAAAAGACCTGGATCAAGAATCAGGAAAACTGGGTCCTAGTGCTGGCTCTGCCATTGCTTGACTGTGTGACAATGGGAGAATCATGTTATGTTTCAGGGACTCAGCTTCCTGATCTATATCATGAGGAGGAGATTAAGTTAGAACATACCTTAGGTCTCTTCCAGCTCTAGAAATTCTATGAGCTTTTTAGAAGTGGACTGAAAACCCTCATATCTGCATTGGTTGAATGTGAATAGACCACTCTAACTCCTTTATTTCTTCAAGTGAACAGACCTGGTTAACTTCTCAATCCTTTCTTTTCCTCCCACTTCAGTCAAGTCCACAAGAGGCAGGATGACGGTGATTAGAGTATTAGATTTAGAGTCAGGAAGACCTGGATTTAATTTCCACCTCTGACCTTTACTACCTGTGTGACATTGGGAAACAATCTTAACTTCTCTGAGTGTCTGTTTTCTCAACTGTAAAATTAGGGAGTTGGATAAGATGGCTTCCAAGATCCCCCACCCCAGTGACAAATCTATGACCTTATATTATCTAGTTGAGATTAGGGGTGGAGGAAGGTTGGAGTATTACATTTGTGATGATAATCCTGGAATCCTGTGCTTTGAAGGACCCTTGGAATAGAAAAGCATTCATTAATAGCTTACTATATACCACGTACTGGGCTAAGTGTTGGGAATGTAAAAAGAAAAGGGAGAAAATCTCTTCTCCCAAAGAGCTACCATTCTAATTGGGGGAAATAACAAGTAGAAGTGAGTTCTGCTGTAAGGGTGATGGCAAGGTTCAGGAATCCTTAAGGTATAGCAGTAAGATATATGGAAATTGGTATAAATGGCCAAGTACACCCTGCAGCCGGGGTTCTGAGCAGTTCCAAGTCAACAACCCTTGGAAGGTTAGATCTTGATTGGGATCTGAGTAGGAGACTGTAACTTTTGGGGAAGGGTTCCAGAGACAGTCCAGTGGTTTTTTCTCTCTGTCACTCAGTGAACGAGTATATGCCCCATCTCTTTCTCCTCCCTATAGTAAACACTTATGTGTAAGCAGGCATGCAAGTTGTAGGTGTTTAAGCACTGAGAAGAAGCAATATTGGTTTATATATTCATAGGGGCTTCTCCCTTTGGATTTGTGCACTGTTTCTATGGAATGACTCGAGTGTGTGTGTATGTGTGTGTGTGTGTGTGTGTGTGTGTGTGTGTGTGTGTGTGTGCGCGTGCGTGCTTAGGTGTGCCATTGCTTCAGGAAGTTAATCTTAGCTCTCTCACTAGCTGATTCTAGTGAGGGAGTAGCAAGGTAACAGAGCTTCAGATCTGATCATTCCTTCCCTTCCTCTTCCTCCATTAAGATCCTGTGGGAAAGCTCAGGTTTGGGCTTTTTTTCCCTTCTACCTGGGTAAAATCCTCGTAGTGGGTCAGCAATATTGAGCTTATATATGAAGGCCAGGGAATCCATTAGTAGAGCTTTGACCATTGCAAGACTACAGAATGCTCCCCAAGGCAGTGCTGGGGTGGAGGTGGTGGAAGTCTCTCTCCTTTATTAGAAGTTGTTTCCCCTCCACCCCTCCCTGATGTGCCCTCATGATAATATTGCTGGGCAGTTATGGTTCCTCCACAGGCTTACCTTTCCTAGAGGTCTTCCAGGGTTGAGGAATTTGTGTTTCTGGCCCTATGCCTTTTGGATCTTTATCAATCAGAAGAAGGCTTTGCATACTCTCCTATCCCAGGAGTTAAGTTCTGAGTCCAGGCTCCAAGACAGCAGCAACACTCCCTCACATCTAGTGGGAGGAAGATCATAGGATCATGGATTTAGAAGTGGGAAGGATGTCAGTGGCCATCTAGGCCAACTCCTTCATTTGATACATGAGGAAACTGAGGCCCAGGCAGGTAGACTGATATTCCCAACTTATATGAGCAGTGTCATAACTGGAGTTTTGATCCAGCTCTTCTGACTCTGCAACTAGCACCTTTCCCACCGTATGATCAATGTCGAGATAAAAGGTAGTGGGAACATAGATTAAAAAAGCTAAATATTCTATTTTCCTAAAGAGCTACCATTCTAATTGGGGGAGACATCCCCCCTCCAATTCATTCCATTCCAAGTATCCCTTAAAGCACAGAATTCTATCACAGATGTAATACCCCAATCTTCCTCCACCCCCCTCCTCCATCTCAACTAGGTAACGTAAGATGGGACCTTGGAAGCCATCTTATCCAATTCTTTCATTTTACAGATGACATTCTTACCCAAGGTCACACAGGTAATAAGTGACAGAGGTGGAAATTAAACCCAGGTCTTCCTATCTCCATTTCTAGTACTCTAACACCATGCCATCCTGTCTCCCATGAACATATTCAAAGTGAGAAGAAGAGAAAGGATTCAGAAGGCTAGCAGATCTGTTCACTTGAAGAAATAAGGAGTTGGGGTCGTCTATTCACATTCCCTACTATTCCCTTCCTGTGACCCCAGTTCCTGTTCTCAGAATCCCTTAGGGTGATGCCATTCCTTCCCAACAACACAGGGGTCTCTGCTGACTTCCTCTGGTGTCCCTTTCTGATAGTTTAGCTTATGGAATCACAAGATTTACAGCTACAAGGGACCTAAGCAGTGATGTAGACTCATCCCTTTATTTTCTAGATGAGGAAACTGAGACTTTGAGAGAGAAGAAATGAAGGAAAGGAAAGGAAAAGAGAGGAAAGGGGAAACAAGCATTTGTTAAGCACTTACTATGTGCCAGGCACTCTGCTAAGCCCTTTAGAAACATTATTTCTTTCGATCTTCACAGCAACTCTGGGAGGTAGGTGCTATTATTATGCCCATTTTATAGTTGAAGAAATGGAGGCAGACAAAGGTCAAGTTGACTTGTGCAAGGTCACATAGCTAGTAAGTATCTGAGGCTGAATCTGAACTCAGATCTTCTTGACTTCACTGTGCCAACCTGGCTGCCTTTGGTTTCCCTTCTGGAAGCTGCTTTTCAAAGTTCTCAAGGTTTCTAAGTGGCAGAGTCACCATTTGAATTCAGGTCCTCTGATTTCAACTCTAGTATTATTTTTAACATGCTGGAACACCTCAATTTAGTACTGAGAATTCATATTTATTGGTGAAACTGGAGGAGGAAGGGAACGCTGCCATTAACAAGTCCTGAAGCCCTATTCATTTGTGTAACAGAATCTGCATAACTTTGACTCTGCCTGATGTTGTCACTTCTGGATGATACGATATTTTTCTTCTAAACTCTTTCTGCTTCTGTTCATTTGTAACGGTGATAGTCCAGCCTTCTGCACTGTCTCTTTTTAGCATTTTTTCCTGGGGCTCCCCTTCCCCCCACCTAGTTTTGGGGGAAGTTCCACAGTATTGGAATGCTTCCCTGATCCCCCTACCCCTTAGCAGTTTCTGCCTTGAATTTACATAAATTGGAAGCAAGAGAAACAGAGTCTTCTGGAAACTGGCAGAAAGCATCTTGAATGGACATGAATTGGGTCATTAGAACTGAAAGTTTTCCTACAGAGGCAGTTATTTATTTATTTACTCCACCACTTCTTAAGGCATTTCCCCCTTTTTAATGAAAACCTCTCTGAGGAGGCCCTACGATGGCACACAGCCAAGAACTGCCTTGTTATGATGGCATCAGGGCTCAGAGTGGGGCAGCCTACCCAGAGGACTTTGTTTGCTTGCTGCTACAATTGAGAGGGTTTGGGGATTTGGATTTCTAATTTGGCTCTTATTGGCTGGTCAGAGGAGGGCTGAGAAGAAAAAAAAACAGTGCTAGAGTAGAATATATATGTGTGGAGATATGAATAAAAATTAATTAATTCTTGCAGCAATGACATGCCTGCTGTCAACTAATCCACAAGCATTTATTATATACTTGCTGTATATATATCCAAGCAAACCAAGAAAAAAACAAAAATAATTTTTGCCTCCAAATAACTAGCTGTTGTTGTTCAGTCATTTTTCAATTGGGTCTGACTCTTCATGAACCCATTTGGGGTTTTCTCGGCAAAGATACTGAGAGGTTTGCCCTTTCCTTCTCCAACTCATTTTACAGATGAGGAAACGGAGGCAGAAAGGGTTAAAGTGACTTGCCCAGGGTCACATAGTTAGTAAGTGTCTGAGGCCAGATTTGGACTCACAAAGATGAGTCTTCCTGACTCGAGTCCTGGCACTGTATCCACTGTACCACCTAGCTGCCCCCGAATAGCTAGCTACCTAAAAGTAGATACAAGGAAAACCTTAGAAGGAATGGTTCTGATATCCAGGATTATTGGGAAGGGTCTTCTGTGGAAGTTGGCATTTGAGCTAAATTTGAAGGAAGTCAGGGATTTTAAGAGTTGGAAGGAAGAGGGGAGGGCACTTCAGGTATGGGGGACAGCAAGTCCAAAGGCACCGAAACCTGATGGTTCATCATGGGTGAAGAATAGAGCACTGTGGTAAGCATTGGGATAAATAGAAAGGTATTGAGGATATGGTGTATACATACCATGGTGTAGGGGATATCATATTGGACTTGAAGTCAGGAAGACCTGGATTCAAAGACTGTCCCTGGTACTTCTTGGTTGTGAGAGGCTGGGCAAAACCATTTAACTTGTGTATGCTCCAGGTTGCTCAACGAGATTTATCTACAAAGTTGTAGTTTGAGGGCATGGATTCTTTCTCTGCCTCCCACCCCTACCCCTTCTCTCATTCTTTCTCTGTATGATGGAGAGATAAAGAGACATCTGTATCTCTGTCTCTATCTCTCTTTGTATCTCCCTCTCCCTCTCTCTTTACTACCGTGAAGAAATAACAGATTCTCCATGAACCTACATAGAAGATATACATACATAGAAACTAGCTCTCTTACAGTAATTCCTAGAGTGAGGCAGCATCCTATACACAGAAGATGCTTAATAGATGTTGGTTGAACTGACTTGCTCTATTAAGAACCTAATAGCCTTGGAGCCAAGAGAGTTTCAATTTCCAGTTTTTGCTGTGTATATGAGAGCAGATTTCTTTTTCTCTTTGTAGCTCTGGGGTGAGCTGCTTGCATACCTACGATACCACCTTTCAACCCTGGGCCCCTGTCAATGTGATTACCTAGCTACGTCTGCCCTAGTCATCAATGGTGGGAGTTGAGTCAGCTGGATTCTAATCAGAGAGGATATAACGGAAAGAACACTGGGTTTAACAGTCTAAAGACCTGAATTCCATCCTCGTCATGCGCCCTCACTAGTTGTGTGACATTGGGCAAGTTACTAGATTTCTCCGGGACTGGGTTTCCTCTTCTGGAAAGTGGGAATAGTTCAGCCTTATTTGCTTGGCTCAAAAAGTCACTGTGAGTTATCAAATAAGGTAATGCACGAGATACAGTACTTTGTTCTCCTAAAATGTCATATGAGTGCAAGATGTGTCTGTTTATAGCAATGATAATAGCTAGCATTTATATAGCATGTTAAGGTTTGCAAAACACTTTCTAAATATTATCTCATTTGATCATCACAACAATTCTGGGAGGTAGGTGCTATTATTAGGCCCATTTTTACAGTTCAGAGAATAGAGGAATAAAGAGTTTAAGTGACCAGCCCAGAGATACACAGTTAGTAAGATTGGAAGAGTACAGATTTGAATTCAGGTCTTTCCGAGCCTAAGTCCACAACATGATCCACTATGCTACCTAGTTCTTCCATTCTTCACATACTCATCTAAAAGATCCTGCTTCAGTGTGTACTAATGCTCTGAGAACCCCAAATATAGGCTCTAGAGTAGACTCAAGCTCTGCGGCTGTTTTCCATCCTCATTTCTCTCTTTTTTTTTTTTCCTATTTGCAGGGGAAGACCCATCCTGGGTCCTGATCCTTTGAAGTACCTCTTGGTGTGTGACTATTCCTGTGGCCAAGAGGACCCATTTCTGAGATGAAGGCCATGCCTTGGAACTGGACTTGTCTGCTTTCCCATCTCCTGCTTCTGGGGATGGGGTCTGCAGCCCTCCTTTCCCGACAGCCCCCGTCCTCACCCCAGAAGCGGTCTTTTCTCACATTCACTGCAGAGCCCACTGAGGGCTTCAACCACCTTGTGGTGGATGAAAGGACAGGGCACATCTACTTAGGGGCTGTCAACCGTATCTATAAATTGTCCAGTGACTTGAAGGTCCTGGTGACCCATCAGACAGGGCCTGATGAGGATAACCCCAAGTGCTACCCACCCCGCATTGTCCAGACCTGCAATGAGCCCCTTACAACCACCAATAATGTCAACAAAATGCTCCTCATTGACTATAAGGAGAACAGGTTGATTGCCTGTGGGAGTTTGTACCAGGGTATCTGTAAGCTGCTCAGGCTGGAGGACCTCTTCAAGCTAGGAGAGCCATTTCACAAGAAAGAACATTACCTGTCTGGAGTCAACGAAAGTGGCTCTGTCTTTGGCGTCATTGTCTCCTACAACAACCTGGATGATAAGCTATTCATTGCCACCGCCGTGGATGGGAAGCCAGAATACTTTCCGACTATCTCTAGCCGCAAATTGACCAAGAATTCTGAAGCTGATGGCATGTTCGCTTATGTCTTCCATGATGAGTTCGTGGCCTCTATGATTAAAATACCTTCAGACACCTTCACCATCATCCCTGACTTTGACATCTATTATGTCTATGGATTTAGCAGCGGCAACTTTGTTTATTTCCTGACCCTCCAGCCAGAAATGATGTCCCCACCAGGCTCCACCACCAAGGAACAAGTTTATACCTCCAAGTTGGTGAGGCTGTGTAAGGAGGGACACAGCCTTCAACTCCTACGTGGAGGTGCCCATTGGCTGTGAGCGCAATGGGGTGGAGTATCGCTTGCTGCAAGCCGCCTACCTTTCCAAGGCAGGGGCCTTCCTTGCCCGGACCTTGGGAGTTAGATCAGATGATGACATCCTCTTTACTGTGTTCTCCAAGGGTCAGAAGCGGAAAATGAAATCGCTGGATGAATCAGCCCTGTGCATCTTTGTCCTGAAGCAGATCAATGATCGTATCAAGGAGAGGCTACAATCCTGCTACAGGGGGGAGGGCACTCTGGACCTCGCCTGGCTCAAAGTGAAGGACATCCCCTGTAGCAGTGCGGTGAGTCAGGGCCGGCCTTCAGAAAATCTGACTGGAGACCAGTGGGACATCATAGCAGCGGGTAGTATTAGCAACAATTCCTCTAGTGGCTTTCAGATCTTCCTCTCCCCCAGAAAACATTTTTTCTTTTCTATTTGAATTGACAAAATATTTATTGATAATCTTCTCTTTCTATTATTTTCCATATTATTTTCACAAACTGCTCTGTGAAGTAGGTAGGGCAGGTAATACTGTTCTCAGTTTATACTTGAGGGAACTAAGAATGAGTCATTGTATTTCTCCAAGCCTCAGTTTTCTTGTTTGTAGGAATGATAATAGGATTCTAAGAGAAGTAAAATGACTTACAGATGGATATAGAATGGAAACTTAAGACTTTTTCCTTCCAGTCTCATGTTCTTTCCACTACATTACATTATATACTGCCTCATTTGTGCTTCTCTCTACCCCAACAACAACTAAAATTTTTGAATGTATTTTATATTTAATTGTCTGTGTATAATAATAATATAGCATTTATATAGTGCTGTAAGGGTTTACAAAGTGCATTACAAGTATTATCTCATTTGATCCTCACAACGACCACAGCAGGTACATGCTATTATTATCCCAATTTTCCAGATGAAAAATTAAATGACTTGTCTGGAGTCACACAGCTAGTAAGTGTCTAAGGCTGGATTTGAACTCAGGTCTTCCTGACTCCAGGTCCAATGCTGTATCCACCATATTGCCTAGGTGTGTATACATTGTCTCCTCCCCCACGCAGTGGAATGGAAGCTACTTGTGGGCAGGCAATATTTCATATTTTTTCTTTGTATCCCCAGCATGTAGTACAGTGGCATATAGTAGGCACTTAATAAATGATTGTTGATTTGAATTATTGCAAATTAGGAAGTGCTGCTAAGAGGGCAGAATCATATTGAAGAAATATCCATTTGTGTTTGGTCCCATCCCAGACACTGCAGATAGAGCAGTAGATAATATGCTAAGCTGTGTTCTCTACAGTAATAGAAAGACATACCTATCCAGTTCATAATCTTAGGCAGTGAGTAAGGCAGTATAGTGTAGTAGATAGGGCACTGGACTTGGAATCAGAATGACTTGGGTTCAAATCCTGCCTTAGATACTTACTAGTTGTATGAACCTGAACAAATTACTCAATCTCTCTTGTCCTCACTTTCCTCTTCTGTAAAACAAAGGGATTGGGCTCCACGTGGCCTGAGGTATACTCTAGATCTAAATCGAAGATGATTTTTCCTAGAAGCTTAGAATGAAGCAATCATTGGGTGAATGAGTATATTAAATTTGAGATCTGGAATTTTGGGATACTTATCTCTGTTCCTTTCTTTTCCTCTTTTGCTCTACTGGTTGAATTCCAGCTTCAGAGAAATCAATCTGTGAGATAGTTTTTTTTTTTTTTCAGATTTGAGGAGACTGTGGCTTGAGTTGTAACTAAATGTTTTGGTGCCTGGGGAAAACAGCAAAAAAAAAGTGACCTTAAATCAGCCCTCTAACTTACAATGTTTAAAAATATACAGGAAAAAATTAAGACAAATTCAGTTGAATAGTAGGTAGTGGTCATCTCAGGACACTGGCCCATGATGGGATTGACCCAGAAATCACTGGACACCTTTAGGCTGCTACAGGGAAGGCTGTCTTTCTACAAAGGAGCTGTGTGGGGCAGGACCAGCAAAATGTTTTCCTGTGATGTTGCCATAGGGTAGAGGAAGATAAATCTCATAGCTCCCTAATTCAACTAATTCTTCATAAGTAAGTTTTATATTCAATTGTTTGTATATCTCTAAAGTAGTGAAAGAGCTGTCAAAAACATAAACAGAATAGAATGTAATATTGCATAATATTGAAAAAAATCACTTAATATTTTTAACCTTCTCTAAATTTTGATGCCTTGGGGAAAAGTTCCAGTTACCTTGCCCTAGTAATGACTGTGCATGGTTTGCTGCCAGGTGAATGAAGTAAACTCTAGGTGCTCAGTATGGCACATTGTCATAAATATATTTGATTTTATACTTAAAGGATCTATGATTTCACAGGTGTGATACTCACTCAACTTAGAAAGATCATAAACCCCTTCATATCTTTAATCGATAGTTTCATGAGTTGCTGGGGCTAAAATAAGTCATCATTAGAAATGGTGATTAAAAAAAAAAGAAATGGTGATGAGCCTCTCACCTAATTACAGAGGCTGGCCCTCTAACCCCTTCCCCCCTTTCTCACACTTGGGAGCATGCGCACGCGCGTGCACACACATACACACACACACACACACACACACACACACACACACACATTTTGCCAGGCTTATAGTCAAAGTCTTTCCAACTAGGCATGATCTATCAGAGCTTGCTTCCTATGGTCCTGTTCTCTTGCTTTATGGATTTCAGGAACCTAAGATCACTTATCCATTGTGATAAGACAATAGGGTGGGACTCCAATAGCATATATATAGATATTCCTAAATAGCTGGAAACCCTTTCCCTTTTTGTTCTTGCCATTTTTATTGAGGTTAACATTGGGAGAAATAGGGATGAAGGCAGGAAAATCCTGGAGGGGGACTAGTTAGAGAAGGAGAGCAGAGCTTAG